GGCCGGTAATTCAGAATTATTCAGTGCACATGATTGCTGCTGCGACTGCATGCCGGGATGATTATATTCATTGTGATGCAGTCATAGCCGTGCGTGAACGTTGCTTCGTATAACGCAAATAAATTGAATGCGTGGCACGTAGCGCCTATATATTCGCAGAATAAATCTCCACGCATTCTCATTCAATTGTGTCTTTTACATTGACCAAGATTTTATCACGTTTTTCTTGACTTCGTTTCGTGTCTGTCTGTCATCAAATATTCAGACCTTAATTTAGAGCTCTTCTGAACATCCTAGAAACTTTAAATTTGGCATGCATGCTTATACTGCCTAACAATTCAAGATTCGATCATCTGAAATAATAATTAACATTTTTTTTAGAAAAAATAAAAAAATAAAACAAAAACACGAAAAATTCACGGTTTTGGAATTGAGTTTTTTCTCGAACATCCACACTTGCCAACCCTGGAAATTGATTTCAATTGCTAAAATTGCTAACTAAAAAGTAGAAAATAAATAAATATAAAAAAATTATTTAAAAAAACAAGTTTTTCTGGTTTTTACAAAACTAAAATAATGAAATAAAACAAATAAAAAACTGCTAAAAAAACACGTTTTCTTAACGGACAAAAAAAAGAAAACATTTACTCATGCATAACATTTTACATAACTAAATGTTATGTAAGAGTAAATGTTTTTATTTTATGTCCGTTAAGAAAACGTGTTTTTTAAACAGTTTTTTATTTGTTTTATTTAATTATTTTTAGTATTGTAAAAACCAGAAAAACGTGGTTTTTAAAAAATATTTTTTATATATATTTATTATTTGCATAATATTCCGTCACGTTCTCTCAGTACATGTTCGAATGAGCTGAATATGTTCTCTGTCACTCATGTTTAGTATCCTCGGATCATATCTAAATTCGCAGCTTAAATTAATCGTAAGAAGCCTACATATTGAAATATTTACTGACAAATAATTTGAGCATGTGGAATTCGTTCCATTTTAAATTTGACTAAAGTCCAGGAGGGCAGAAAAAGTTGGAAACTTTAATTGAATCTTTTATCAGCAAAAGTATTAATTTATTTTTAATAATTCTATGTTTTATTTCGATAGCAATTTATAGATGTTATTGCCGATACCAAGCAAAGTGTGGTGGAATAGGCCATACTATCACTTCAAAGGAAACCTCAGCCAGGATTTGCTGTTAAATAAACTTCTGTGGACAAGCCAATTTGACTTAAAAGAAAGGAATACTTAAAATAATTCACTGGGAAACTTATTTATTATAGTTATATCCAGGGCAACTTAGGGGAACCGACTTTATTGCACGTATTTCTAGTGGGAGCCTTTTTTCTAGCAACCAATGCAACCAACTCAAGTAGGTTCCACTAGGTTGCCCTGGATATAACTGTTATAAATAAGTTTCCCAGTGATTATATAATAGTTTTATCCTGTGTTCAGGCGGCTGCGGCGAACTAAAATCAACATGATCGCTACAGTCGCTTGAATGTGTGCTTGTTTGCTCAAGGAATACGTTGTGCAGATAAAAGAATAGAAAAAATTTATTTCCAGGACAAAGCCACTCGATATTGTTTTTGAGATAATTGTACATTGTTTTTATTACGATTTTCATCGCTATTACATAACAGCATTTACTAACGGAAAATTTGTTGATGATTGGGTTTAATAATGCCGGGAAATGATTAAGTTAAACTCATAGTGCAGGTCTCCTCTTCGGAAATACTTAATTTTTCTATTACAATTATCGGCTTTTTCACTGAGGCGATGTGCGATAAGATTGTGCGATTTAAATACGCCACTGAACGATGCATTTGTACCTGTCAAATGAATGTTCCGACCAGCGCTACAGGTACCGTAGTTAGTACTTCGTATAAAGAGTCCAATAAGCATGATTCCTAAATTCCAATATTTTGGAATTACCAAAATAAATCTTGCATTCCAATATTTTACAAGAAAAACATTTGAGTTGCTGCTGATATTGAATATTTAGTAGAAATTGCGTTGGCATGCTAGGCTTTATCTCTGACGCTGTATTGTGTCTATCGACATGCCGCGCCGACTCCATTAACTCTGACGCTAGCACGCGAAATGACGTCCCAACGCAAAACATGTAGCGCCTCTGCAACTTCGAATACATATGTTTCTCTATATTTTGTTGTTCTTTCAACTATGTTTTTTTTTTAAACTGAAGTACTGAATCAGCAATGAAAATTTTATGATTAGTTCTTTTTAGACAAGATTGAATTTTGGGAATGATTTGCATACCTTCAAGTTCTTGCTAGAAATTCTGATTATCTGCACCTGTTACATCTTAAATGATGGATTTCACGGGGTTGTTCCCATGATTTTTCGTCGAATAGTGGGTGAAAAACTAATTAAAAAGTGAACTAGAGGTGGGCTTAGAATTAAAATTTTCTCTCTCGGTCTTGTTGAAAACAACAAACTTTCGCCTTTAAATCTTTAAATATCTGAAAACGATTAATAATTTATTGTTTCTGCTCACACATTTTCTTATTCGAACTTAAAACCACCCCCTCTAAAAAAACATAAATAAATGACTGAAACATTATGGAGTTAAGTTTAGAATTTTTAGTAAAAACAAACGGCGGTGCTAGAAATTACTTTGTCGAGTGTAGTTTAAACGAGAGAGAACGGAAAATGTGCTCCAGAGAAAGTAGATTTGTTTACTTCGCATATTTCCCCCTCAGTTTACATTAATTATTAGTTTGTGCACGATTAATAACTATCACAATTAAGTGTGGATAACTTCTGAGACATTCTCAAAATATATTCTCTTGAAAAATAATTATAATGATATTTGTTAATAATTGATAATTTGCTTCCGTAGCCCAGCTTTACATATGTTTAGCACCAATGCTTCAGTCTCATGCACCATTACTCCATCCGCAGATACAATTAATTTTTTACTCTAATTAGCGGCAAGAAGAAAAACGTCCACCATCAGTCACATTTTTCTACGATTAAGGGAACGAAAACCATCATTTATCGTTACATTTTTACTAATATTTTTCATATATACAATAATAATCGTATATTTGTCATGATAATATCAACATTTAAGTCTAAGGAGATCTATCTTTCGTTTCATCTTGCAGTGATCATCACCTTTGCAATCACTTCTTTCATTCACAAATATTTCACTTCAAAAATTATATTGTATAACAGAAATGCAGAGACACTAAATTTTTTTAGCAATTTTATCTTTAGTATTACCAGTAACCACAAATTTGATACTATTTCAAAATTTGATGGAAAAATACTAAAATAAAATGAGAGTGCTTGGGTTCAAATTCATCGGGAATCGAATTTAGAGAAACATTTAAATTTTTCATAGATATATGAACAATAATCAGGACCAATGAATCCCTTGAACATCGAAATTATTTACAAACTTTTTCATTTAACTCCACTTAATTTAATTTTTCTCAGTGTTACTTCTCACTAAACATGTCACTTCCACACACTTCAAAAGTTTAAAAATACGATAAATATCTAACATGAGCCACATTGTACAGCACCATGATAAATCTACACTTATTCGTACAGAATGCTTATATACAGGAAGACTTTCGTTCATTTTATATATATTTATATAAGCTACGTATCATGCAAGCAACATCTATCTGTGATGCGCTCAGAACGTCTTAGGTTCTATCACGATATGCTTGGATTTTGGTATTAACGCTAAAAAGCTCCGGCATAAAAGCTCGACTAGGAGATAATAGTGAAACAGAACATGTAAATACAAGCTTTATTTTAGAAAGGCCTCATATCTTCCAGATGAATTTTTGTTAAATATTTTGAGGCAAATAAATTATTCCAAACAATCCCTTGCATTCCTGAGCAAGGTAATCTATGGAAATTCACGATAAAAATTGTTTAGCTTGTTTATTCATAGGACATTGTTGAATCGAGATAAATACCGGCAATTTCTCAAATATTCAACGTACCGTCTATCATAATTTTTTCATTATAGCAACAGCCTGATACTCCGGTTTAATACAATAAAATTTGTAAGAAAGCGAGCAGATACACGATAAATTTACTACTTCTGTTCTTACGGCAGCCAATAGATACGTAAGTATCTACGTGAGTTGAATCAATAGATACGTAAGTATCTACGTGAGTTGAGTCAATAGAAATGTAAGTATCTACGTGAGTTGAATCAATAGATACGTAAGTATCTACGTGAGTTGAGTCAATAGATATGTAAGTATCTAAGTTAGTTGAGTCAATAGATATGTGAGTATCTACGTGATTTTAGTCAATAGATACGTAAGTATCTACGGGAGTTATGTCAATAGATATGTAAGTATCTACGTGATTTTAGTCAATAGATATGTAAGTATCTACGTGAGTTATGTCAATAGATATGTAAGTATCTACGCGAGTTCAGTCAATAGATATGTAAGTATCTACGTGAGTTGAGTCAATAGATACGTAAGTATCTACGCGAGTTCAGTCAATAGATATATAAGTATCTACGCGAGTTCAGTCAATAGATATATAAGTATCTATGTGAGTCCGAATAGAGCTCATGTAAAGGTTCATATTAAATATTATATTCAGGCCAAGTTCTTTTAAACTCATTTAAACTTATTCAAATATTAGAATCAAGTTACGCTTCATGTACTTTAGCTATTGCCGAGTGAGCGAAATTACGATGCACAAAGTATGAACAGTTAATAGCTTCTAAACATAGGCTTCAAATTTACAGAAAAATTCATATGTAGCCACTTCACAAAACCATTTGTCAGGTTGAATCTTAATTATGGCGTCGAATGCAGTCATTGCAAATTATATACTTAATTAATGGAATTTAAGTTCTCAACTTACGGCCTGGATTAATGTTTATTAATAATCAATGATGATTGTGTAATTTGATAAGGTAAGATTAATTTGTTTGGAGAAACGTGAATTCAGATTTGAAATTCAAAATTTTTGAAATTATATTTTGAAATAAAACTACTGTCATTGAAATTTAGAAATATTTGGTTTTTATTCTGTATAGGAGCGTGACAGCTAAAATTGGCAAGAATATTACGCTGAAGGTTTATGATCGGCTAAATCTTCCTCCCTAAAGGCACACACAATGCGGAAATAAAACATTGGAAGCTCTTTCCTAGCCTTATAAAATACAAGACTAAGTTAAAAATGGCATAGCAAGCGGAAAATGGTCGCAATTCAAATCTCTGAAGCTTATTGGATTTTTGGTGTAGCTCCGAGAAACGTGGACTGTTGGAACTGCAGATTGAATTACGATAAATAAAGAAGTGATGTGAAAGCATATGTTGATGTTAAGATATTTCCAACACCAATCATGTTTTCCCATCTCTTTTTAACAGTGGTTTTTATTTTGAAATGATGATTGGCAATGCAGTGGAAATGTAATTGCTCATAACCTATAAACTTGGGAATTTGTATTAGCATTAATTTATTCTGGAGTAGTAACCTAATTTGATGGTAGAGGGTAAGTTTCATGTCAGTTGTGGAGACACCAAATATTACGATCTGTTATACTGTAGCTACGTATTATGTTCCGCGAAGTCTTAAATAAATAATTCTCTGCGCATCCAAGAAATTACGGCGATTTTTTTTTCAGTACAAAAGCAACACGTTTTGAAATATTATGCTTTCTTTCATTGATTTTATATTGCTTGTTCGTCTGTTTTAATATTTGAGAGGAATTACTTGAATGTCTTAAAGAATATTTAATGAGTATATGTGAATAGGTATGAACTAGGAAATTTTTGATGTATATATGACGTTAATTTCTCACTTTATATTCACTTATTTTTTCCAGAAAGTATTAAATTTCTAGTGACTTACCTAAAAACCTCAGAGGAATAAGTTTTTCTTCAAAATTATATATCGAAACAAGCGTAGATATCTCTTATACACGGGAATACAGGATGCAAATTACGCAAGTGTAGAAATAATGATAGATGATTGCACGGATCAGTATGACAAAGTATTATTTCTTTCGGTGTAAAACGCAAAATTCGCATGGACGAAATGCTAAATGCATATATTTCCTCATCAATATTAAAGATATTCGAATGGTTTCATTTTCACGTAGACCGGGGCCGAAAAACTGCTACTTATTCTAGCTCGACAGAATCCGGTACATGAAGCATTAAAAATGCAATACCAAATCAAATGTTGCTCCTTAATTCATCAACATGCACAGAATATATCAATACTAAACACTTATTCCTATACAAAACTTTCATCGTCTAAATCAGGAATACCTCTTCTGACCACATACTTGGGATTGGCCTTAACTTCCTGCATGAGATGATAGCGCTCACCGACCCCTGCCAGTGTATTCCTGTAAGGCGACTGCGTTGGTGTCCTGCGGTTGTCAGGATCCTTGGCGTGATGGATCAAGGAGTCGTACTGGTCCCGGCTTCTGGGTAGGGTGGACACGTGGTGGCTGGGAGAATACGCGGACCGGCTGCCGTACTCTTCGGGTAGTGGAGAGAGGGCGTTCACGGGTGGCATGGATATCCTCGGGTAATTTCGGTGCGTGGTTTGTACGTGAGGATTGGAGATGGGGAAAGCGGGTGATGAGGTTCCGGAAGACGATGGTGATAGACTCATGATGTTCGCTGAAAATCCTGGGGAGTATGATGACTTGCTTAGGCTGTCGTAGTATCCAGTAGATCCGTTAGGTAAAAGTGGACCGCTGAAGGAAGAGCTTTTCGCTGGAATGCTTTCTGCAAGTAAAATGATTACGGGATGAATGGAATAGTTGTTATTCGGCGGTAATTAAACAAGTTTGGGAATAGTGGTTCCTTGCTTTCCACCCCTATACGTTTTTACCTGCGTTTTTTAACCTTTTACTTCCATAACTTAATCTAAATAATCTATCTTTCACAGTTCGGTAAACTAATCAGTTAGTTACTTCACAAAAACGTAGCAAAGTAGAAAGCTTCTTAAAATGGATTCCGTACCTTTTACGCAGGTATCCGGGATGGGCGAGTCTCCAACTCCAGTTCGCTCGACTCGTCCGTTTTCGAGAACCATGACCCTTTTCTTGGGCTTGCTGGGCGCAGCGTCATCGTCGTCAGTGGTGGGTTTCTTAAGGGCTCCATCACGCGGTGGTTCTTCTAGGGGCTTAACAGGGGAACTTGCTTTGGTTGCGGGAGGAGGGGAAGGTATGCGGCTGATAGGTGCTGATGAGCCGCTGGTTACGTTACGTCTCCATCGCGTGATGAAGACCAGCAGTAAAATAAGCACCACGAACACCCCCACGATGCCTAGGAATATTGCTATCAAAGGGGAGTAGATGAACGGTTTCGTCTCACCTGCAATCAATAAAAAACGTTTCAATTAAAACAAAGATAATCTGCAATTGACGCATATGAGATTAACTTTTAGATGGAAAATACGAGCTCATATATAGTTATAAATTCCGTTGAATTTTATCTATAGATCTCTCTATAAAGAAAGGGCTTCTTCTAAAGTGGCATATTTAATAATAATTCGAGGTACGGAAAATTAACATGATATATTTTGAAAACCTTTGTAATTGAATTTATTTTACCTTTTTATCAGAACGGTTCACGCTGATGCCATATAAAGTTACAACAGGGTCACACACACATTAGTTGGCACATTATTTTTAATCTGCCTTTTTGGAGCTAAAATTCGTTTATATATACATAGTATTCATCCCTGGAGTATTTAATTGTTTTAACCGAATTATCTCGGGTTTTGAATTACGATATTCTTCTTAATTAATTAAAGACATGTATATGCAAGGTACGTAATCTCATAATGTAAAAAACGTAACAATATTCAATAGCTTATGTAAATGTTATCCTACAATGAACTGAATCCCCGAATGTGGTCAAAGGTAAAAATAGATCCAGACGTTTGTTTGTTTTTTTTTTATCTTAAGAAGAACCGCTAATTATGCTGATTGAGTAGTGCAAGCGAAAATTTATTTAGAACATATTTTTATCGCTAAAAACGATAGAAACTTTTAATTTGTGATGGCCAAATTTATGGTATTTCTCATTTCAATATACATTAGTCTTGATAAGGTATGTTCACTACAAAAATTATGAATGAGCCAACAATATGTCCATAAAATCTCAAATTTATTATTCCTTATTCCTGACAGATATTCGAGATCAAGAATGTCAAAAAACTTCCAACAATGCTTGATCTTTGTTTTGGCCGGACGTTAGGCGCCGCCGCCGTGAGATCCTAGACTAACCTTACGCTTATGGTTCCATTCATGCCAAAAAGTCTATTTTACTAACAATAAGAAGCCTTATCACCTCACCTGGCACACTTTTTTTCTCCATATTTTTTCCACGATAAATATTAGGAAAGTATTTATGTCTTCATACGCATAATATGGTAAAAAAATTCTAGGCAATAATGATATCAGTCTTTTTTAGATAAAGTTTAGAATTAGAATTTCATATTCATTTTAGCAATTGTGTTTTGATATTTTTCGTACGATGCGTTAAAAGTTTTTCTATTGAAAAAAATTTGGTGCCTTGCTCCTACCCATAAATCGATGTGACAACGTTGAACGAGCAGAGAAAGAGCATTTATTTTTTGTGCGAAACTTAAAATGAATAACCATTATTCTAAGAACAAGAGCATCCATGAAAAATGTTCTAGAAACATTCTATACTTTGTGTATTTAAGAATATAAATTCAGAAAAAAATCAAAGAAATTTTTTTTTCTAAAACGACAACAAAATGCATGGAATGTGGCTATAAAGGTGCATGCTGCTTTCAGGTGTCAGGGTCATGTAACAAACATGCACTCTAAACAATCATGTATCATCTACATTTAGGGATACACAATAATTCGCGTTGACTACATATTTTATTTCGAACTTTGCTCCCGGTCGTGAAATAAATCGCAGAACCTGGCAATAACTAACATGCAACAATGCATTATAGAAGAATATATTTTAGCTTGTGTGGTAAGAAAGACGCAACGTAATTGATAGACCCAAGTCACTGATCCGTAGGTTTTTTGATGGGTGTAACGAAAATGGAAAAGTGGTGCAGAAAATATTATGTACAGAAATTAGACTCAGTAGGAAACATATAAAATCAGTGGCTTGCTGTTGAGTGCCAGTGCTGGAAATTAAGGGTGACTGTGCGACGGTTTCTAAGTCGTAAGCTAGTGCATGATTGCGATCTCCTGTGCACGATAAGAGTCGCCCCTCTTCCGAATTGTTAGCTCTTGCTGAGAAAGTTTGGATTTTCTTACTCACCCATTCTCTTCTCAGCAACCTTGAGAGTCGAAGCTGTTAAGGAAACTGTTTGTGATCTTCCCTTAGCATTAAATGCTGATATTCTGATGACGTATGTTTTGCCGGGCTCCAAAGTTTGCACGGAAAATTGTGGCTCATCGGAGGTTCGGTTCAAGTGGAGGGATCCTGACTCGTCGAATATCTGCGAGAAGATGAGTGGAAACATTTGAAAATAATTATTTATCGTTTCAAACGTATCGCATTTGTGTGGCTGTGATTTCTTACTATTGAAGTGTTCTCGTTTTGCTATTAGTAACTCAATTTATTGACAAATTTACGACACTTTACCTAAGTAAAAGTAAACATTAGTTGTATCAGGGTGGGATAGCCGTTAAGTATTTCTTAAGTTCCAAAATCAGGTTTTCAGTCATTAGATCGTAAAAGGAAAGTGAGTGACAGAGAGTGCATTTTCTCGTTGCCGAGTATCGTGGATACTCGGCAACGTGAAATCACAAACAGACAGACGGACGGACATGACGAGCACAATAGCGCTTTTTTCCATAAATGAGAAAATGCGCTAAAGACATATCAGTTAGCAATTTCCTTAGCATAAAGAACCTCTATTGACGCATTATTATTATATGTTCATTGTTGTAGTCCATACCTCTGCCATGAAGTGTTGTCCCACTCCACCGTCAAAGCCTTGTAGACACGCTACTTCAATGTTCTCTGCAGTATTGTTGAGAATCTCACACCCTTCAGGAGGAGACGGAGGGCCTGTAAAAGCATTCCAGAGCATGGAGATCTCCTTCAGTCTTCTACATCAAACACACGTAAGCTTAAAGGGGGCGCTGAATAACGCGCGATTGCTTTCCAGGAGTGTTATCGCTGCCCCCATAGGACACTTCACTTGTATGCAACCTGTTTGTTGTCATCGAAGAATAACGAATAACGATGTTATTTGTTAGAATAACGATGTAAGAGACCTTTGTTCACTATATAAAATCGAGGAACTACGTCGGACAATGTCCTAATTTCGTGTGGGAAGAGAATTGTGTGAAAAAATTTTTGTGGATGTATTTTAAGTAGAAAATTTTAGTGATAAAATTACAGTTTACAGGAGCAGAAGCATTCATTCTCACTCGTTTATGAGAATAATTCGAATACGAAAGAAATTCTGAAACGAAATAGAAAAGAACATGTACGAACAAGCCAAATCTTCAAGCATGTTTACAATGAAGCCTACGCCTATATGCACAAAAACAGACCTCAGATCATTAGAACATACATGAGTTATGTGATGAAGCTAGTGGAGGCGAATACGTTTTCAACATGAAAAATCACGATGCAATTCTCCCCACGAATAGCACGAGCGCAGCTTCGATAGATCGCGTTCATTTAGCAGCATGCAAACTATATTGCCCGAACGTGGACCATCAGAAGGCTTTGTTCAACTTTGAAAGGATTTTCGAAACTTAATACGATTATGTTTTCAGCAGATTAATTAAGAAAAAAAAATATATATTCAGATCTATTAACGAATGAAATGAGAGTTTTTCGTAGCCCAGATGGGCATTTTCAGTGATTAACACTGACTAACATTCTCAATCTTTATTGAAATTAATAAAACAGCATTTTAAATGAATTTTTGTTTCATGAAACGTTTTATCGGACACAATGGTGAGAACGCTGTACATTAGCTGTCAAATAGTCCACTCACTCCCATCGAAGCTGCAGTTAAGATAATGGGCAAGGTGTGTGTAGGGGCAAACCAAGGTATGCTGTCAACAAGTTTAAAAGAGACTGCAGGTCGAGAATTGGAATCGCCGAAGAATAACAAGAACAGTGACATAGCTCTTTGTTTCTCGCTGTCTCTCTAAAAAGGCTGAAAAGGAAACGGGCGATCGAGCAATTCACGATAAAGTTACAAACCGCCTGCTTGCGCTGTTTGACGAGTCGGAGGCCTCCTTTCGATGCCTGCAATACCGAGAGTATTTGTGAACAACGGTCGTGCGTGTCGTCAAGAATCAGGTTAGGAAAATTATTGTGAGTCAGTCAAACAAATTTTGTCAAAACAAATCAAATTGTGAATTAAATTAATAAAAGAGAATTACATAATACGGTTAATTAAGAACCAGCGAATTCATGTATACGGGCAAAGAAATTGGAGGCATGACTTCAACATAAAAAGTGAAAGGGAAGTGAACAAGACGATAAATTTGTTAACTTTCAACAACTTGAGTGAAAAACCTATTATATCAGTCCAATAAGAATCACAATATAATTTTTTGAAAAGAAAAAATTCTTGATTAACTGAATGGCCGCTCTAAAAAAATTATTGCACCAATGCTACAGGCAGGGCATGTTGAGCGAAGAGGCATATTTTTGTTTCCTTTTTGGTTTTACAGCAAATAATGATCGCCCATGCGTGCCCTCTGCTGCTTCCTTAAAAAATGCTGGCGTCCCGAAAAAAAATTGAATAATGGGATCTGCATTATTGGGAAATCGAATGTGGCTGCTGGATGGAAAGTGGAAGAATTTGAAATTTCGGGAAAAAAACATCTGACGCTTTAGGTATGTAATATAGACACATCAGAGCGTCATCAATGGAATTGAACACTAAGAATCCTAAACCAAGTTGCCACAACAGTAATTTTGAGCCTATGCAGTCATAATGAAGATATAGGACAATCAAATCAAATCACAGCATTCTTCAATTGAGAGCTATCAATTCCTGCAACGATTTTCCATAGTTAATTGGTGAATATCGAGTCAGGCGGTAATGTGAATAACACCTTTTTCTTTATAAACATTTATCATACTGAGGTTGACTGGCGTATAGTTTACGAGGTTTATTATTTGAAAAATACCATCTGACCATCTGTTTTTATGCGGGTAGAGTATAATATATAACTATTTTTCACGATAATTAATGCTAGTAATTATTGTATGCAATACGGATTGTATGCTTATTTATCACACCACGCTCATTTTATCAGGTGCAGTTGTCAATTATTTTTTAAAACACGATAATAAATTCAGTTGAAGTTTATTCTTTGCTAACTCATTCCCAAGATTTATTTTACATTTCGAATGGGGAGACTGACAAGGCCACGCGAGATACTGTATACGATGTCAGTTGAACACTTGCAATCCGTCGTTTGACCAGAAGTGTGTCGGTGATCGATGCGTTGTTGATACATCTGACGTTTTTTTTACCACGTATACCGGCAGCTACATGAAGATTTCATGAAGGTTGCGAATGTTTTACGCGAGACGGTAAGAATAGCCCCACGCAATTTCTCTCGTTCAATGAGAATCGACAACAAGAACTAAAGATCAAATAGAGAGGAACTCGCCGGAGAAATCATATAGAATTTAGCATAGGTCATAGAGTGGATTTTTGGTACCTAACATGATTATAGTACCTAAGAATGACCTGCAATATAATTTTCTAAAATTGTCTGCAGCACATGCAAGTAAATGCTGTAAAAAGGTTATGCTGTAAAATGACAGAAGAAGTGGCGAAAAACTGTGAAAAAATACATTGGCCAGACTCAGCACAAATAGAATGATTTATTGATTACTTCCATTGGACGGCTGGACGAAAAACTGACCGCCAGCATCAGATAATATTTCTACGGTGTTCATAAGTTAATATTTCTTATTGATTTGCTATTGTTTTGCATCAGTTGGCTCATGAAAACTTCTCACTATAAGAACGGAGACTGAACCGAATTAAATAAATAAAATCATAAGGATGTTTGGTGAACTCTTCTTTGCGACCACCACAAGTCTCGACATGGTGGACAATAGGAGAGGCAACACTACAGTGATGTTAATTACACAACATGCACCCCAACCACGCAGTGATTTTTCAACACGATAAAGAATTTTGTAAGGAGTTGAAGATTGATAGAGTATATGTTCAGTCTAGAAATGCCTAGCACCTTACGGACCAGGTAATATGTCCAGTAGCTAGCTCAAACCAACGTCAAGATTTTGTCCAAAGGCACGTTCTTTGACATTCTCTGAAAACGTCACGCAAAATACAAAAATCGGTAACAGTACTTATATTATCAGTCTGCTTTTATCGCAAGTACAAAAGGAATTTAGAAGCAAAGAAAACGCCAAGCAAATTCACTATATCGAAATTGAAAACGTTACGGAGTCCAGCTCCATCATCAGTTCGACAAACTAAAAATGAAAATTTTTAGTTTGGCGCTTTCTTTGCTTGGCGTTTTATTTGCTTTTAAATTCCTTGTGAATCGGTAACAGGCCACGGGTTCATTTTTTCATGGGCCACTTTATTCATTCTTCACTTTGACTTTGCCGATTGTATTCATATAAATTTTGAGAAAATCTGTCTTCCCATGCTGAAGAAGTGGATTACAGCTGGATTTTAGAAGTTGAAAAAATTAGGGAATTGTCCAAGAATCCTATATTATATCACAACTCCTGAGATGTTAAGATGGGTTAGAAGTTGCTAGATTCCCGATATGCGTCCGCTGATGTTGAGTCGATTCATCTGCATCGGAACCATTTGAACTGCTGCTTGAAAATGGAGCGAAAGGACAAGGATTGACTCGGATTAAAATTTCTCACCAATTTGTTCTCCCGTATTCTTTCAATGGCAATTTTGTATATTTTCGTTTAGACAAATTTGGAAATAGTGCTTGGTTTCTAATATTTTAAATTCATTTTGGGACGTTATTAGTTTGTATCTGCAGTGCTTGTGAGACCATTCATATAAATAAAAAAATTATATTGCAGTACGCCATTTAATATCAAATAAAGGAATGCTAATTATATAGGATAATGTAAATAGCCTGTTGTCGATCCACATCATACCATTGAGGTAATACTAACTCACACTTCAATTTGCTATCGGAAAATATCTAGTGGCAAGACTTACGATATTGTGGGTCAACAATATATACTTTACAACGAATACACATTCATAGCCTTGTACTAATTAAACTTTTGGTGTGTTGATTGATGTTGACTTTGCTTTAAATTTCCGCAGAATTGGTTTACACTTATCAAAATCGTTGTAAAGCCATTGCCTTGCAGCAAAATCTGTGCCACTCATCCGCTCATTTTCAGCGGTCTCTTCTTGTCTACTCAGTCGCGTCGGCAGTGGAAACGTAATCAAAATATTTTGATAATCTGCAGTCCATTAAACTTTAGCAGCTCAAAAGTTCATGCGACTATCGTTAAGCCCGTGAGTAGAAATGAATCAATATTATTCCTTTATTTAATATACAATGATTTTCAAGTCAGAAATTTTCTAACAATTTCAGTTGAACGCTGCACAATTTTGGTGTAAAATACATGAAATATAAAAAAATATCCTGCATTGGAGTACGTAAATAAGTATAAATTTTGCTTTAAATGAAAAAATTGAGCGTTTTTTCACCTCATGGGACCAGGGAGGATAAACCTCCTCATGTGTAGGTGTTTCAACGAACAACAATCACATGCAACACCGAACTAACCTGCCGGTATGATTGTGAAGACGCAGGCCTTCTGTTGAACTCCCACAGAATTGTTGGCCCAACACAATAACGACCCGTAGTCTTTGTCGGACGTCCCAAGGAAAGAATAATGAGAGACGAGTTGTCCTCGATGAGAAGAGATGCCTTTGTATTTGGAGTAGGTACGTTCCGAGCCGTTCAACTTCCAGTGAAACGTGGCTCTAAGACAAGGGAAATGCAGCCGATTAAAAAGTTATGTATACTTTTGATAAGTTAACATCTAATTAGAAAACTAGTTTAGCAATGATCCATGTGAATTACTTATCTCATCCAAGTAATAATCATATAAGAATGAAGTCAATTTTCATACGCCAGAAAAGTTTATCTTAATTTCATACGCTTGTTTTAAATACAAAAACATTTGGTTGGCAAAATAAAAGAAAACTTGAATTCTTTGGATAGGCCAGCACTTTTAATTTTCTTTTAGGAATTAAGTACAGTTTACCAATTACATGATACTAATTCTCGCGGCTTTAGTCTCTGACTTTTTTTGAAGTTGGAAACATTAAATAATTATTTTGTCTTGCATTGCTGCCAACTTTGCAATTCCACAAGATACCAACGTTTTTTTGATCTAAAAAAAGAAGTTCGTTAATAAAATCAATAACGAATTTTACTGATCCCGCTGAAATTCTTGCAATCTTTAATGGTATTTTAGCCTCGGACGTCAAAGTCGCAAACCCAACGTGATTTTGTACGCTTTACGTGCAAAGAAAATTTTTTCTAAATGTTGTTCCGATCGCTTCTTTTTAAAGCTAATCACGTTTAATCAATTTAAAAAATTTCAATATCATAAAAATTCGTTTGAACTACTCCAGTATCAATGAAGAATCTGTGTTACATAATATAAATTAATGGGGGTTAAATTTTTGGACTGAAGGTCAGCGGGCTGCCACAACACCCGAAAACGTAGAGACAATTGGAGAGAGGTTTCTGCTTTCTCCACACATTGTGAGACAAAATTTTGCAGAGCGCCTCACCTTCTTGAAAGGTGACCTTCTTTGGCCGGCTCGATCCCTTGATTTGTCTCCGTGTGATTTTTTACGGGGTTATCTAAACTCAATTGTTTACAATGACTGTCCAAGGAAGCTACCTCATTTGAAGAACAAAATACGCCAAGCCATCGCCAACATACCGGCCAATATGCTTCAGCGAGTTGAACAGGTCGACTATCTGACTGCATTGACAATGGGGGCCGTAATATGTCCGATGTTGTCTTCAAAACTAAATAATACATAAATCCAGGTAATTTCTTTTTCAATGAAATTGATATTGTACTGTCATCTATACTAGTTCTTTTTTATTGAGCTTCCAAATCAGGGAGTTTCCGTGAATCACCCTGTACTTCTCAGCCACTTGAGACCAGTTTCAAGCAACTGCCGTGGTCAACAATATCAATGTTCAAATGAAAAAATCCTTCCCTCAATCTTCCAAGAAAATTCCTCGTGTGATGCAAAAGTTGAAATTTAGTATCCACTAAAACCAAACTTTCTGTCGAGTGGCTACCTTAAACAAATTTCCATTGCTCCTCTAATATAAATTTTTGTAAAAAATAATTTTTTTTAGATAAATACAATTTTTTGTGAAAGATACAAATTTTTGTAGAAAAATTCAAATTTTTCTGAAAAAATACAAGTTTTTGTAAAAAAATAAAAATTTATATACAAAATACAAATTTTTGTAAAAAAAATTTGTAGAAAAATATTAATTTCTGCATAAAAACAAATTGTTATAAGAAATACAAATTTTTGAAAAAGAAAGTGTCAAGCACTTACCTGAGCGGGTTACTCGCCACTCTGCATGAGATGTTAACTCTTTCCCCCTTGCCCACTGCCAAGACTGCCGGCTGGTCAACCATACATTCGGGAGCGTCTGCAAGACAGGGTGGAATATCGTCAGGGATTTGGAAGTGCTAAATGAAAGGCTTGCTCGGCGCGTATGTGCGTCAGATATGAATAATATTCGGGGCAAGAGGCTCTCCATGTTGCCCGGATAGAACGACGACATTGCAGAGTGGACGAACATAGAAACATCCACGGAAACATGATTTTTCAGAGTTGATTATAGAAAACTGTCGGATTGTTTGGACAATATTACATTCAATGATTATTTTAGAAGCTGGTAGCGAACTATCGAGGAATCGAAAGCATTGACTTATATTCGTCTAAATAAACGTTTGTATTCTTTTTATTTATTGCTTACTTATAAGACAAATTCAAGATTTTTATTTAACGAAGAATCTTTTTATTGTTAAAAATAAGCCGTTAAAAAGACAACCCGGAAGAAACGATACAAGGCCTTCGAAGCGAACTATTGCACTAGGAAATGAAGTGCCACTTATTCTGAGTGCAGGCAATTACTTCAGAGTAGAGTTTGGAGTGGAACATGGCTGGGCTGAGCTTTTGCATTAAAATGAAGTCTTATCTAAATGATAAATCATCAACGAACATTTTTCACACCTACAGCATAGAGTACATTAAATATGGAGTACGTGGTGGTCTACACAAATAATTGGGCTCACGGGGCGAAATGAAAACTAATATTTTATTGGTGTTTAGTGTCACAGCATACTTGAAAAATATTTCAAAGGCTTCTTCGGTCCAAGGAGAATGTAATAATTTTATCCGGGCACGATAATAATCATCATAGTTTTATGCAACAGTTCTCATGAATTAGCTGGTAAATAATAATAACAGATTTATTTTACAATTTGAGCCATTCGAAGAAGTCGATTAGAATTTTTTCGAGTCGCTCCACTCGATGACAATAATTAATAAATAATTTATTAAATATAATAATAAATTAATAATTTATTTTTTTTTTCAGCCGAAACAATTTTTTCTCACGGGACGCTGTGGCTTGAAAGCGATTAAAATAACGAATTTTTTCTCCGGCAATGACCTCCAATATCCCAGGATAGATTTTTTACCTATTGCTGAATGCAAAAGATTTTGGAATTTTAAATTATTCACGAAGAGATGTACTGTTGACGCAGCTAATTTTTAAACTTCATGAAATCATTATTTATAAATCGTATTCATTCTGTCGAAATGACGCATTCATTTAAATCTTTTTAAAAAATGTTTGGTTTAATTATTCATTATTCAATTTTAATTAATGAACTTATTTATCAACTAAGCATTAATGGGTTCAATTTAATTAAGAGTTTTTACTTCTCACTAAGCTAGAGTGGAAAACTATTTTCCGTAAACTGAAACATAATATCGCATTAAGCACCTATACAATCAAAATAATTCTTTAATTCTATACTAATAACGATTCTCGAAATAGAACTACTTTAAAGTTTGCTGTATCTTAACAAGTTGGTGTTGAGATAACAGCCTAACACCGGTTGCTTCGCATATCATTTATTGCGCAATTAAGAATTATTCGAGAAAAATTTTCATATTAGTAGGATGAAAAACACTCATCCTAAAGGCGTTCATGAGCAAGTAATAGTTAACGTTCTAGTTATAACTAATTTTTTATTCAAGTGGTGAGATATATTTATTCATGTAATATGTGAATAAAATGGGTTATGTATATAATATGTCATGATGATGGCACGAGCTGAAATAAAAAACCATCAATCAAATAATTTATTTGACAATTAATAGATATTTGCGCCAAGATCTTTGATCAAGGAAAATAATTTGTACTAACTTGTTCTTGAATTCATTTGCAATTTTAATAAATGTTTAAAAATAAAGGGAATGCCTAAAATTATTTAGCTTAAACGCAATTAATTTGTTATAGTTTACCAACTCAGTTCTAGTGTAGCTGGGCAAGTACAATATCTTCATCTTCATTTAGTTTAACCTTTAATTCCGTCCTTATATATGACAAATCTTAGGATTCTAGTCAGTGACTTTAAATTTACTCAGCGCTCGCAGGGCGTTAAAAACCTTCGATTGTAAGAGCATTTACCTTTATATTGGGCTTTGAGTTTTAGGAAATATCTCGTATTAGGGACAAATTCTAATTCCGAGATTTCTTATAAATGTTAGTCCCAGATCGCTAATTTTTAGTGTACACGATTTTCACGATAGGTGTCATGAGTCAATTAAAAAACTTCGGTGCGGTATTTTCCACTATCCTTTTTTTTCCAGCAAACATGAACATTTTCACGACTGCTGGCAGTTGAGTATTACGAGTAACAGAAACTATGAAATTTTTTTCTGCCTTGGATAATCTTAGGTCTTGGAAGTTAGTTAACGCGCTCCATTTACGTGTGACTTAGCTTTCTATGAAAATTCCACTATTCATGGCAGTTATTGCAGTCTTTGAGCTACAATTGCTGAGCCTTTGGTATCACATTAGAGATAAGAACCACTGCACCACGAAGCGGCCGTAATTCCCTTATCATTCAACACTGCCGTGATTCGGAAAAAGTTCTAATATTCTGCTCTAAGCAGCACTATTTTCTGGGTATGAAGGGACGCTTGCGAGTCAATATCTGTCGAATTTAAAATGCATCGAGCGCTACTTCCAGGGGATGACTGCATATAATATGTTGTCTGTATAAGGAAGTAAAAAGATCGGTATTGGATGAATAACATCATATGAATTTGTTTAACACGCTATAGCTGAATGGAAATAATGCAGGGCTTTGCACAAGATATTTAATTTTTGTGACCATTCTGCATACCTTGATGGATGCAGCATATTCTCAGTATATTCGAACACGAGATATGTTAGAAGATTTAGTAGGCCTTTAAATAAATATTTTTTAGTAAAAACGCTAGTGGTCTCTTGATGCAGATTGTCAATGATTTCTCACATTTGTCTCTGTATAAATAATTCAGCAGATTCTGCATTATGAAATGGAAAGATTCGTCAAGGGTTATATCTCTTTATAAGCTCAGCTCGATAAATCGATATTCTCAGCTCAATGTGCCAGTGCAAAACAAATACCAAACGAAGGCCTTGCTTTGAAATCTCATAGAAATTAATCATCAGGCCGCAAAAGCTAAATTTTTTCTTCCTGACAAACACGAGAACTTTTATAAGCCACGAGGAGCTACTCCGTTATTGGGCCATGCTTGAATCATGAAATTTTAGGCATATTCCCTATGTCAATACTTGAATTCAGACCAGAAATAACCCAGCATTAAGAGAATTCAATGAAGACTATTTTATTGACAATAATTGTACACATGTCACGTCTTACTTGCCTACAGTAATTTTTTATACTTATTGATAATCTGAATATCTAATATTGGGATGATTTAATTTGTGAATAAATTTCATTGTTACTCGCAAAAACACTAATTGCAAGCGTCTTACTTGCCTACTGTCATATTATAAACTTATATAACCACTTAAATATTCATTCTAATAAATTTAATTGTTACTTGTAAGAACACTAATTACATTATACTCAGTTTTCTTCTCCTACTCTCCTCCGTTATACTCATGAATTTTATACCTAAAAAATAATAGTAAATTTTTTCGAAACCAATAGTCATGTAATACTCTCAGAATGGATACGATTGTAACTCTCAAGTACAAAAACATAAACTATTCAATAATGTTACACCTGATTTGATCATTCTAAATTCGCTCAATTTACCACACGAATTTAGTACTCTATATCGGATTCAGTCTTTGGCATGCCAGTAGGGAATGGGCTAGCTGAGGCGTTTGTGGCTGCGTGCCGTGACCAGATCTTGACGCCGACCAGCGCTCACGCGACTGTCAATTCCGTAATGCTGCCCCGACCGTCAACGATCTTCGCTGGCCCGGCAACGAACTTCGCTGGCCCGTCAACGAGCCCGGCCAGGGCAGCGAACGAGCTTTGCTAGCCCCGTCAACGAGCTCGGCCAGGGCAGTGAACGAGCTCGGCCAGCGCGTCAACGAGCTCGGCCAGGGCAGTGAACGAGCTTTGCTAGCCCGTCAACGCGCTCGGCCAGGGCAGTGAACGAGCTTTGCTAGCCCGTCAACGAGCTCGGCCAGGGCAGTGAACGAGCTTTGCTAGCTCGTCAACGATCTCGGCCAGGGCAGTGAACGAGCTTTGCTAGCTCGTCAACGAGCTCGGCCAGGGCAGTGAACGAGCTTTGCTAGCTCGTCAACGATCTCGGCCAGGGCAGTGAACGAGCTTTGTTAGCTCGTCAACGAGCTCGGCCTACCGGTCAATGAGCTCACTCAGCCCAGCATCGAGCTCGGTCAGTCAGTCAGCGAGTTCAGTCAACCCTTCTAAGAACTCGGCCCGCCTGTCTAAGAACTCGTCATCGCTCCTGGCAACTGTAGCCGCTAGCGTGGAACATTTTGACCTCCAAGTTCTCGAGACTCGTGTCAATTAGTGGGTAGATTGTTATGCGTGTTTAGTGAAATGGCTTACTAGTTGGAATTGCGATTCCCATAAATTGAAACATTTCGCGTGCGGTGGAAAACATTTTGCTGACAAATGGAAGAAATTAATGGTTATTTGCAAGCCTTTTCAGAAAGTGCCTTAATCACCAATTATAACTCCGGTGATAACGAACCGTAAACATTTGATAACAACATTTCAATTCCCACTATAAACGTTTTTGCCTCAAGAGAGCTTAATCATATTTAGCCTCCAGAGCGTAAATTAAAATTTATATGTGAGTCTTTGCTAATGACTGGTGCTGAAAATAACTGACACAATCTGATCTCATTGTACTCTATTAAACGGAAAAGAACATATCTCTACAAATAAGGCTTTCGCGCACATGAAAGCAGTCCGATTTTGTTAATATATTTTCTCAGTGACTATTTACAGTAATAAGGCAACAAATAAATAACGAACATTAATTCATAATGCCAGTAGGGTAAAATTTTTATTAATATATGGTCACTCGGGAACAAGTATGATATTCTCAATAAAATAGTAGTGATTATTAATAAAA